AAGCACGCAAAGCGGGGGCGGTTTCACTCCGGGTGACTCACACCTGCTTACGGGGATCGGGTTTCTGTTCCCCTTCTTTCCCCCCTCCGGAGGGGGGGGGTCAGAGTTTCTGAAGAAACAGCCAGACTGAAGGGGCTTTTCTTCCCACTCACGCAGAGAAAGCAAACAGGAGGCAAGTGACGACATTCAGTAACATCTCATGAGTGAGCCTGGAGGGAAAAAGCCTCGTCTGGAGGCGCTCTGGGGAGAGACGGGCGAGGCGGGTCTGGAGGAGGGGGCCCTTAGCTGGTGAAGGAGAAGGAGGGCCGTCACGCACCCACGCACACCCGCGCCCTGTGCAGGAGGAAGGTCCCGGGCTTCGCCCCACTGGCTTCTCCGTCTCCAGGAAAGGCTCTCGCTTCAGCCTCCGCCGGGCACTCCCTGCCTGCCAGCCGCCTTGCCCGGCGAGATGGATGCCGGGGGTCTCCTGCAACCCAGCCTCGGGCAGCTCCCTTCACCTCTTCTGGATAACAACGACGTCCGGCAGATGCTCTGCAGAAAGGAGGGATCCACCGCCGCCACCTGCGGCTTCTCCTCCACCAAGAAGGCTTTGTGCAAACACCGCCCAGGCGGAAGAAGGGCCCCCTCCCATTCCCCGGCTTTTTTTGCACAGCACCCCTCAGACGCAGCCGGGTGGGGGGTGGGGGGCTGCCACCCTTGCCTGCTTCCTGAGCTGCCCTCCCCTCTCTGTCTTCGGTCAGCTGCTGGGCTTCCTGTTTCCATCCCTTTCCTCTGCTGCATTATCAAGTGAAGGAGCAGTGCAAGCGTTTATTTGTTTATTTGTTTGTTTGTATACTGATCATCTGGCAACCAAGGCCAGCCTGGGCGGTTTACAATAACTAAACAGAAAACAATAGAATAACAGACATCTTCAGGATTCAAGGAGCATTTTTCTCCCTCTTCACATCCATTGCTGGATAGCCATGAAGCCACAGAACTATTTTTCTGTCAAGGCAATATGTCTGACAGACTTTCCAGGGAGTAAATCCCATGGCACTGAATGGAGCCAACTCCTGAGCAAGTATTCTTGGGCTTACTGGAAGTGGCGGGAGGCTCGGCGCGCAGTGGAACCATCGCAGTGAGCTTCCTCTTGTGCAAGACTTTGGGGAAAGGCAGCGATTCAGGAAGAGACCCTTCAAGAGGACTCTCCAGCTTTCCTCACAGCATCTTCACCTCTTGCACCTCAGTTCAAGATCAACTCCCTAAATATGTCACTCGGGTCAGGGTGGCCACTTGCAGGAACCAGAGGCCAAAAAATAGCTTTTCCAAGCTCTGCCATGAATTCTATGGGAACAATTACATGTATTCATATGTTTTGTTTTAAATGAAGTCAAAAGTAGGTGTAATGCTTAAGACTCCCAGGGTGGTGTAGCAAGTAGAGTAAAAGACTATGATTCGAGAGATCTGGGATCGAATCTCCTCTTGGCCATGGAAACTCACTGGGATGGCTGGCACAGGTAAAACCACGCCTTAAAAATCTCACCTAAATGTCTTGTCAGAGTTATTATAACTCCCTTCTGACTTGACATAACACAAACATATATATATATATATTTAAGGGTGGAGGTTTGTTTTATCCCAAGGGCCTCATGAGGTTTTTCATCTTGAAAAAGATTTTCAGGGTATGCTCATTTTTAATGCTTGTATTTGACCCGTTGTAATCCTACCATTTGGTTTTAGCTAGCTGCTAACTTGCTAACTAACAGCGTGCTGCTGATGTTTATAGGTTTTGCTTTTAAAAAGCCATCTGGAGGAGGCGTTTCAGTCCTCTAAGCTGCTAGCAAAGCCTCGGCAACCTCTCTGCTACAGCATGCCCACCGGCCACACCCGAGAGCCCGGCCCTTGGTGAAGAGCCAGCCTCCCACAGCTGGGTTCCCACGCAGGGCATCGGAGGAGTGGGGCACCGGTCCAGGCTGCTCTCCGTCAGACCTGGACAGGACATTCCCGCCGAGTCCTTCTGGGAGAAAGGATTCAGGTTCGGTTCATCTCCTGCATGCTTATGGAATCTGCCAAGCCTGCAGAAGGACCTAGCTTGATTGGGGGCAGCCTGGCCTTGCCAGGGGTTGGCTTTTTGTTGTTGTTGTTTAGTCATTTAGTCGTGTCGGACTCTTCGTGACCTCATGGACCAGAGCATGCCAGACCCTCCTATCTTCCACTGCCTCTCGGAGTTCTGTCAAATTCATGTTGGTCGCTTCGATGACCCTGCCCAACCATCTTGTCCTCTGTCATCCCCTTCTCCCCCTGCCTTCACATTTTCCCAACATCAGGGTCTTTTCCAGGGAATCTTCTCTTCTCATGAGATGGCCAAAGTATTGGACCCTCAGCTTCAGGATCTGTCCTTCCAGGGAGCACTCAGGGTGGATTTCCTTCACAATGGAGAGGTCTGATCTCCTTGCAGTCCAGGGGACTCTCAAGAGCCTCCTCCAGCACCACAATTCAAAAGCATCAATTCTTGGGCAGTCAGCCTTCTTTATGGTCCAACTCTCACTTCCATACATTGCTACTGGAGAAACCAGAGCTTTGACTTTGTGGACCTTTGTTGGCAAGGTGCTGTCTCTGCTTTTTAAGATGTTGTCTAGATTTGTCATCGCTTTGGATCTTAAGAACCTAAGAACAGCCCTGCTGGATCCAGACTGTTGTCTCTTACCACTGATCAAATGCACATTTTTGGTGCTGCTGTGTTTTCCTGGGAGTCTAGAGGCAAACAGAGACCTACCATGGAAGTAGCAGAGTTGGATGAAGCAGCTCAGCTGTAGGCTTCTGCCCCACCAGTCAGCTTTTCCAATGAGAACAGACTGTCTGAGAGAAGATCCACTTGTGTCTAATTGAGAACACATTACTAAGTCTGAGAATCCATGCCAGAATTAGAAGAATTATGGGACCTGATGGAATCCTTTTGACCTGTTTGCTCACCTGCACCCTGAGAGATGCAATGCAATTTCCTGAGCACTTTCAGTGAGGTTAAAGTGCTACAAAGAAAGCAGCCCCTGACAGGCTAATCAAGACATACAATTATTGATGCATCTAAGATTGGCAAATAGGGACTTTGGCTGTCTCTTGGTGTGTCTGAGCTGAGCGGCCTCCACCAAGAGTTACCAGTCTGTACCTGTGCGAAGAGAAACAAGGACTGCGAAGCCTCAAGCACCCTGACGTGACCCCCTTCACTGACGGGGTACAAACTAGGGCAGCTCTGAAACCACCGGGGGGGGGGGCCCCGGGGATTGCTTGCTTGTTTGCTTGCTTGCTTGCTTGCTTGCTTGCTTGCTTGCTTGCTTTAAAGGATGGGGCAACTCCCTTTGGAGGCCGAAGCCGAGTGGCTGTGGTTGACGGAGGCTCCCTTGACTAACCCATCTGCGCCGCCTGAGGTCCGGCTGAGAGGCCTGAACCCCTTTTCAAAACCCTCTCTCCTCTCCCCAGTTGTGGACATGTGCAGCACCTTCCCAGCGGAGTCGGAGAGCTGCGGGGAGCCAAAGCGCCGCTTCTTCTACAACACAACCTCCCAGAGGTGTGAGCCTTTCCTCCACAGAGGTTGCACCTGGAACCTGAACCAGTTCTACACCATCGAAGAATGCCAGCGCCATTGTGGGAAGATCGGTGAGAAGGGGGGAGGTTGAGAATCTGGGTGGGGGATAACCTGCTACCAAGTGGATGGAATCGTAGGGGGAAAGGGGGGGCTTGCCTTGCAGGTGGGTGGGGTGGATTGAAAGACCCAAAGGCAACTGAGAAAAGGTGCACACCATTCAAGGAGAATGACCATCTCCGCCCAAGAGACGGGCAAGGGGCCTGACCCGGTCCGAGCACAATGTCCAAATTCTGCTCCGGCTCTCGTTGTCTGGCCAGGCTCTCTGCTGCCCGCGTGTCTTTGAGGTGGAATGAGACAAATGCCTTATTTTCCACTCCTTATGCTCTACTCCTTTTTTAAAAGAATGAAACAGCAACAGCCTCCGAGATGCAGATGCTGGGGGACGGGGGGAGGGGTGGAGGCAAGGGGGTGTTTCTGTTGCCTCCCCCCAACCAGACCTGCTGGCTGGATTTCCTTTCAAGCTTCTCCTTGGGCTTTCGATGGGCCCTGGGAGAAACAAAGGGGTCTGGATGAGGTGGGCCAGCTTTGGCCCCCGTCCCATTTCACGGCTCTCTGGGTGGGTCTGGAAGAGCCTTTTTTCCCATTCCTGGTGGAACCAGACCGTGCCACATCTCCCTCCGCACCCACACATGCCCATTCTTTCCCTTGCGGCCTTTTTCTGGCAGATGCAAACATACGGGGGGGGGGGCTCATGGCAGGGGCCATTTCACATTTCTTCTCTAGCACCAACTGACCGCGGAGGTTCTTCTGTGTTGCAGAAAAGCCCGGATCCTGCCCCCCAAGTCCCACTGTGATCACCACTGAGTGCTTAACGGGCTGCATGCATGACGGATGGTGGAACCAGACCGTGCCACATCTCCCTCCGCACCCACACATGCCCATTCTTTCCCTTGCGGCCTTTTTCTGGCAGATGCAAACATACGGGGGGGGGCTCGCGGCGGGAGCCATTTCGCATTTCTTCTCTAGCACCAACTGACCACGGAGGGCCTTCTGTGTTACAGAGAAGCCCGGATCCTGCCCCCCAAGTCCCATGGTGATCACCACGGAGTGCTTAACGGGCTGCATGCATGACGGAAGCTGCCCCGATGACCAGAAATGCTGCTCTTTTGGGTGTGCCTTGCGCTGCTCCGACCCTCTCAAAGGTGAGACACACACAACCCCAACGGTGCTGGAGGAAAAAGGGGTCCCCTGCAGACAGGGTAGGGGATAAGGGGATAGCCTGCTACCAAGCGGATGGAACTGTAGGAAAAAAGGGGGGCTTGCCTTGTGGGTGGGGGTGCTGTGCAGTGCAGGGGGCGATGGGCTGCTCCACTAGTCTGCAGCAATGAGACCCAGAACCACGGGAAGCGTTCCATAAGGCGTTCCATAGCTGCTGAAAAAGCCCTTTCTCTACAAGCCCTCCCTCACCCAAGGGTGCTGGAGGGAAAAGGGGTCCCCTGCAGACAGGGACCCGGCCCTATGCTGTGCAGTGCAGAGGGCGATGGGCTCTGCCGCTAGTTTGTGTCCTCTGCAGCGATGGGACCCAGAACCACGGGAAGCATTGGAGCTGAGGCACCGTGTGAGACAAAAGAACAGTTCACTATCCTACTTGGTATGCACTTACACACCTGAGCGTGTGAAAGCGATTGTGTTTGCTTTGGCAAGTGAACAGGGAAGCCAGGGAGGCAAAAAAAAAAAAAAAAAAAAAACGCCTGATTCTGATCCACCCAGTTGGGGAGGGACCAAAGCAAAGCTGCTGAAGCACAAGCGAAGCAAACGGCTTGCAGCACTTCAGGGAGAAGGAGGCTTAGGGCACAAGGAGCCTGAGGGCGTTTTCCCCCCCTCACTCACAAGAGTCCCTCTTTCTTTCTTTCTTTCTTTCTTTCTTTCTTTCTTTCTTTCTTTCTTTCTTTCTTTCTTTCTTTCTTTCTTTCTTTCTTTCTTTCTTTCTTTCTTTCTTTCTTTCTTTCTTTCTTTTGGTGATCACCACGGAGTGCTTAACGGGCTGCATGCATGACGGAAGCTGCCCCAATGACCAGAAGTGCTGCTCTTTTGGGTGTGCCTTGCGCTGCTCCGACCCTCTCAAAGGTGAGACACACACAACCCCAACGGTGCTGGAGGAAAAAGGGGTCCCCTGCAGACAGGGTAGGGGATAAGGGGATAGCCTGCTACCAAGCGGATGGAACTGTAGGAAAAAAGGGGGGCTTGCCTTGTGGGTGGGGGTGCTGTGCAGTGCAGGGGGCGATGGGCTGCTCCACTAGTCTGCAGCAATGAGACCCAGAACCACGGGAAGCGTTCCATAAGGCGTTCCATAGCTGCTGAAAAAGCCCTTTCTCTACAAGCCCTCCCTCTTACCTCCTTAAGGGATGGCTCTTTCAAAAGGGCCCCCTGGCTAGATCTTAACTGCCGGGTAGGTTCATATGGAAGGAACCTACCCCTCCAGTGGCTGCAGAATCCCCGCTTCTTGGCAGGGCTGGGCTCTCAAGGCAGCAGGAGCCCTTGCCGTGCAGAGAACCAGATGCCCTTCAGAGGAAAACCAGCTCAGAGAGTGGGGCAGAGAGAGAGAGAGAGAGAGACTTCCCCCACCACCACCACCCCATGTGACCTAGAGCAGAGCCCCCTTCCCCAAAAAATATCCACGGAAGGTCAACCCCCCCTTGTCCAGTTCCAGCTTCCAACCCTCCCCACCTCTTCTTTCATCTCCCCAGATCTGTGCCGGATGCCTCCTGAGAAAGGTCCCTGTCATGCCAATATCCAGAACTGGTATTATGACTGGCAAACCCGAAGATGCAAGAGGTTCACGTTTGGAGGCTGCCTGGGGAACAAAAATAACTTTAAGAAGCGCAAAGAGTGCCAGCTCAGGTGCGCCCGGCGAAGCACGTAGGAGGCCAGGAGGGTTGCCATTGGGCCAGCCCACCGCTCGCGTTCCCACCAAGCCAAGGACTTTGTCCTGTCTTCAGTGCCAAGAGAAAAGGCGAGGCCTGAGGTGACTCTAGTGCAGGTGTCAACACGACCGCGAGTTGCGCATCAAGGGGCCGAAACCCTACGGCCCCCCTGGGGTTCCCCCATCGCTCTCCAGCATCCTTTGCGCCTCCCGCTCCTCTTCCTCCCAGCCTTCTGCTCTGAACCACCCAAGCGCCAGGCCCTGCTTTCCGTGCCGGGACTTCCACTCGGACGCTTCTAGTTTGACCAACGATGGACTCAGGCCAAGGAGGGGCCCTGCTCTTCTCAAAGCAGAAGATGAAGGAGACGTTTGGAGAAATCTGGATGCATTTCCTTCGTAGCGGAAGACCAGTCGTTTTCTGGGTCCAGAGGGTGAAACCGATCAACCACACAGGATAGCCTCTGGGGCGAGCTGGGGCCACATCCAGGCCAAAGCCCCCCCCCCGCGTCCTGCCCCCTTTCAAGCCTTCCTGCCCGTTGCTTCTGCCCGCTCCCTTCTTCTCGTGGGGGGGGGGACTCGCCTTGTTGCCCGTTAAGGAGCCTCTTCTCATTGCGTCTCAACATTTCTCTTCCTGCAGGGAGGCCCTACGGGGCAATTTGCCTCCTCCTTTTCCGCTACTGATTCACAACTCCCTTTCTCTGTGATGCAGTGAAAGAGTCTTTTGCTGTCATTTTAAAATGGTTGTGTTGTTTCCAGAAAGGAAAGGAAGTGAGAAGAAATAAGCAATTAAAGTCCCAGCCTGCCCATCGGAAGGGTCACTGGGGGGACAATTCATCATAACTGATGAATCAATAAGAATTAATCAGCTGGGCAAAAACAGGAAGTTGGAAGCTTTTTAACTACCATGTGGGGTCTAGTGAGGTTTTACGTTTTAATCTGTAAACTGCCCAGAGTAGTGCTTGCAAGTGGCGATCTATAAATCAAATAAATAAATCAATAAATACCATGGCACAGACCTCTTCTGGATGAGGCTGGCTTCTCCATAACTGTTACAGGAGGAACCTCATCCATGAGGGTGGGCATTGATGGGTGAAACGGGGCTCCATCAAGTTCCCTGGGGGCCGCTATCGCTTTGCCAGCACCTCCTGCTTCTTGCAGAAGTGCCACCGCCCTGACCGGTCCAGGTGCAGGAACCACAGGACGGAATCCCTTTGCCAGCCTCGTGTTCTTCTGATGGCTCCTCTGTGCTTTTCCACAGGGCCCCTAACCCTCCCCAACAGAAAGAGAATCCTTGCGGGGACCGACATCCTGGATCCGAAGGAACTCAGGATGCTCAGAGGTCTTCCTGATACCTCTCGGGCTCCCTGCCCTCCCCGCTCCCCGGGCTTTTGCACCAGGGAGATACCAACCCTCTGGAGGCCCCCTGCCCTGTCCACAAAAGTCAGTCTCTCTTCCCTCCCTCCTCACCACCCTCATGCCCCCACGCCCCTACCTGCTGCCTCCTCTTCCTCTGGGAAGCTGCAAGAGCATCCTTAGGACCACAGGGCCCATCCCGCATGGCTTCTTCCCTCCCTCTGACATCTCTGAACGGTCCCTTTCCCAGCAGCTTAAGGTCACCGTCCAAGGGCACAGCATGCTCCCTGAGCCCCCTGGGCCACTTCCTCCTTGGTGCCTCGCCTCCTGCATTTGGCATGCGCTTTGGCAAGGACGGCACCGCTTGGAGGCCCCTCGTGCAGACAGCCACTAGGACGCCAAAGGCACCCAACTGCCCAGAACGACAGCAGCCGAGAGCTGTGCCCGGAGCGAGTGCCTGCATCAGACGGAGATTTCCTGAAGGCAACTGCCTTGCCCCTGGCCAGGCAGCCTGGTCTGGTTGCCAAAACACAAAAGGAGAAGTGTGTCTCTCTTTCAAGGCTGCTTTAATCAGGCAGAAGGTGGGCTGGCACTGCACACGGGAGGTGTTCCAACACTTCATGGGCAGGAGGGGTGGGTGGGTTTCCACCGATGCAGGAAAGACCTGAGCCCCCCACCCCCACGGAAACAGGCAGGAGGGGGGAGGCATCATCCTCCGATGCCTCTGTTCAAGAGTCATCAGGCAGAGAGGCAGCCCCGCCGGAGCAGAAACCTGTCAGGGACCTTCCAAGGCTTGGGAACCGTAGTCCCTCAGGGGCCAGCGTCCCAGCAGAGGCATTTGGGGAGAAGGGGTCATCTCAGGCCTGGCATGATGCTTTCCAGGGGACAGGGCAGGCTGTACCAGCTCAGCACCAACAGCCAGAGGCCCCCACGAGGACAGGGCCCCTCCCTCAGAAACGGTGGCCTGTTGGCCAGGGTGGCTGCAAGTGACAGGAGGCAGGAAAACCACCCCCACCCCCCGGCCGCTCCCTTCTGTCACCAGCAAAGGCAAGAATTCCCCCAAACTGCCCTGGGAGCCGAGCCATCTAGGTGAGCCGATTAAAACGGCTGGCACTCCTCAGTCGCCACTTATACAAGTCCCACTGGTTTCAGGGGATCTCCTTGAATGGGGACAAACCATTCCATGTATTAAAGAAGCCAAGAGAGGCTTGGGAGCCCTGGGGAGGGGGGGGGTCCATGGGCAGAAATGAGCCTCCTACAGATACACCCTGGGAGCCTAGGAATGGCTCGGTTGATCCATGGGGGGAGGGGGAATTAAAAATGTCTGGTCAAAGCGGAGGCTGAAAGGGCTGCAAAGGTTCCTGAGAAGAGGGAAACCGCTGGCTGGCCTTCTTTCGGCCACAAGCCCTGGAGACGATGGGCAACTCCTCATTGTTGTCCCTCTTGGGCATCCAAAGGCGACACACCGGCCTCTGCAGAGGCTCTCGGTCATCAATGCTTGTCATCATGACATGTTGTCAGGCAGGTTCTGAACGACAGCCAGTGGCAACCCTTTCCAGGGTCTTCCGGGTCCAGAGAGTCCTCAGAAGGGGCTGCCCGTCCCCTCCCTCTGGGGACACTCTGGGGATGGCTTCTCTGCTGCTTGCCCCAGGCCCCCTCCGGCTGGCTCTTCTCTGGATGGGATCCGGGTCTGCAGCCAGGTGCTTCTCTCAGGGAGCTCTCCAGCTCACTGGAGGGGCTTCTGCAGGGACCTCGTTCCTGGCACCTCCGCCCTCCATCACAGTCCAAAGTAAACCGGTTTCAGCAGGACGCTTCCTGGGCTGTGGCTCAGAGGCGGATGGCCTCATGAGATCTCCCCAGACATCAAGCACAGGCTCCCCTGCATTGCCACCAAACGTGTCCTCTGGTGGCCCATCTTCTGCAAAACCTGGAACTGGGTCATCAGAGCCCTGGTCACTCCAGGCATCGTGATATTCGTAAGGATTGAAGGGGGATTTGCCTAAGCCATAATCAAGTTCCTTGTCAAAGCCGTCTTCATCCCCATTGCTGCCTTCTTGGTCAAGGGAGGAAAGATCGTCTTCAGTGATGTCGTCGTCATCGTCATCATCAAAATTATCATCGTCCTTCTCCTCCTCAGTATTGTTTTCCCCAGCATGCTTCTCCGGCTGGTCCTTCAGTTTAGGCTTCCCCTCAAACACAGGCTTCACACCAGATACGGGCTTTTCGTGGGGGGCCGTTTTGTTTCCACATGCGGGTTTGCCGTGGACCACAGACCCGTTGTTTGGAGCTGGCTTTCCTCCAGACGCAGGGGTCTCATGAGCCACGTGCCCAGCAGGACCAGGAGGTTTTCCGTCAGATCCTGGCTTTGCGCTGGAGGTGGGCTTGCCTTGTCCTGCATGCCCCACGGTGCCGTTCACGGGCTTTTCCATTGAAGCTGGCTTGCCGCAAGATCCCAGCTTGCCCGGCTGGCCACTGGCCTTCCCTCCAGATGCAGGTTGGTCCCCAGAGGTGGTGGTGTTCTTCTTGACGAGGCATCCCTTTTTGGGAATTGCAGGCTCTGAAGCCAAATCTTGACTGTCAATGGAAATGAGTTTCCCCTTTAAAGGAGTTGCATTGAGCTCAACTTCCAGGTGAGCCTTCTGGTCAAAGGAAGCTCTTTCCTCAGATCCCAACAAAGGATTTTCAGAAGGTTTGGGTCTGCCAGAGGGGCCAACTTCATTTTTGTTCACAGGTCTTCTAAGAGGCTGGGGTGGGTTCTCACTGGAGGGGGGAGAAGCTCCGGAGGCCTCTGGATATAGAAGAGAAAAAAGTCAGGCAGAAACAGGCAGACCTCCACCCGTCTGCTGCTGCCACCCTGCCCGATGCCCTGGCACATCTGCCTCCCTTTTGAACTGTGGCCTTCATCTTGGGAAGGGTTGGAACAAGAGTTATTGTAGGGGTTTGCCTGCATCACATAAAGCAATACATAGATGAGCACAGGAGGGGAGATGCATGGGAGACACAGAACCCCCTTGTAAAGTTCCGTGGATGTGGCCAGGCAACGGCACCATAAAATGTCCACCTGGAAGCACCGCCTGTCTCGGCGATCCCCTGGCACACAGCTGCCTCCCTTTTGAACTGTGGCCTTCGTCTTGGGAAGGGTTGGAACAAGAACTATTGTAGGGGTTTGCCTGCATCAAATAAAGCAATACATAGATGAGCACAGGAGGGGAGATGCATGGGAGACACAGAACCCCCTTGTAAAGTTCTGTGGATGTGGCCAGGCAACGGCACCATAAAATGTCCACTTGGAAGCACCGCCTGTCTCGGGCTTGCGTCACCCTCCCTTCAGTGGGACTTTCGGCGCTTCCTTCTTGCTCCTTAAATAAGTCTCAAAAAAAAAGCAAGGATGGTAACCCATGGAATTAAACACCAAGTAGCTCACAGAAGTAAAGACCCAGGGTGGGGGGGAATGACAAATGATATTGAAGGACCTCAAAAAGGTTTGCACTCCACTGGCCAGCTGAGGTTTCAAGCAGGGCCAACCGGCCTAATTGCAGATGAAACCTTCTCAACCTCCACATTCCGGGGGGGGGGAGGGGAGCAGCTGGAGCCATTTCCAGGAGGTCAGTGGCCACACTAGTCCATTGCAATAAACCAAGCAAGAGTCTTGTGGCACCTGGAAAAGAGTCAGGGCATGGCCACACGGGCCCTTCTGGCGTGGGCTGGTGTGGTCTACATAGGGTCACCTGAGGCTGATAGGAGGAAGGAGCCAAATGCCATTTGACAGAGTCCTCATGTCCAAAAGGCACATTGACCTCAAGCCACCTTCCGGCTCTTTCCACAGTCCATTGGACACTTCTCCTGTCCTCTGAAGAGGGGCGGAAGAAGTCCAGCTATGCCTTTTTTAACAATTCTGCTAGACCATTACTGATGCACTGAATAACTTAGATTAATTTTTTAAAAAGAAAGAAATCCTTTGGTTGTTGTAGGTTTTTTTGGGCTGTCTGGCTGTTTTCTTGAGTTTTTTCTTCATTGTTCTTGAAGTTTTTTGCCAGACAGCCCAAAAAACCGACAACAGCCATCAGGTCCCACCTGTGAAAGCCTTCGAGAATACAAAGAAATCCTTTGTCTTCTGTGTAGTGCTGACCGAGAAACTGCCCACAGCCGCGGTTTTGGATGGCACTTCATGCCAAGCAAAGACTTTCTTCCTCAAGCAGGTCTTTAGGGACGGAATCGCTTCCAGAGAAATGGGATCTTACTGGGGTGGGGCGAGACGGTGCCCTTTCCACATTTCTTATCGAAGGCATGAAAAATCTCAAGAAAGACATCAAGAAGCGTCCCTCTTTCAATGCCTCATTATTTTTACCACGGCCCCTGTCAAACCAAAGATCGCTCCAACCCCCAGAAGGTCCGCCTGGGAGAAACTCTGGCGAGACCAACCGGACCAACTGTTGTTGTCGATGCGGACGACGGTGGTGGTGCCGTTGTTATAACCAGCAGTTTCTTGAAGAGCCATCCGGGCTCCGAGAGGCTTCTCTGCCGGGCACTCCCCACCCCCAATCTCCGAAACGTTTTCGGCTGCCACGTCCCTTGGCTTGCTTTCTTTACCAGCCTGATCTGTCTAGGAAAATGTCCAGCAGAATGCTGAGCACATCAGAAAAGAGGCCCCCTCCCGGGCACAATGAGTCCAGCGCAGTCTATATTACTGTCTCTGGGCAAGATGCTAGGGATGGGGCAGGGTGGAGGATGGGGCTCAGAGTCCCTGCTATACAGATGCCCGCTCCGTCTCCTACTCTCGCCACCCACCCTCTCCGTCCACTGCCTTCGATGCCCACCCCATAAGTGGCCCACCATCGTCAGCTTCCTGGAGTGGAGGAGGGCACCCGCAAGCATCAGCTCCCACCAGCCCGTAAAATCCACACCGATTGCGCTTTAAGTGGAGCAATTATGCAAATTAATTGGGCAACTAGTGACAGAGCATCATACTCCATCAAGAGTTTCGTCCCAACCGGTAATAGGAGAGGAAGGTGGGTGGGAAAGCATCATCCTCGCCTGCACTGATTGCAGCAGCCACAGGTCTGCAGAAGTGCTTCCTTTATATATGTCATTATCTCAAATTATATCAAAACTAAAATGCAGTTCTATAATGACTACATAGAATTCACATTGGACTCTCCCCACTGACGCCAGCTTCCCTCTTGGGATGAGGCGGTCATATGCATCATCAGCCTGTGGGGACAGACGGGGGGGGGGCAGAGGAGGGAGAGGGGAGCAGGAAGGGGGTGGCCCCAGGGGAGTCAGCCGAGAGGCTCCCCGAGCACGGCAAGCTGAGACGGCCCCACTGGGGGTCCGACTGTGAGCTGGGGAGTCCCAGGAAAGCCCTTCTTCTGGAGGGACAAGGGGGAGCTCCAGCAGCCCTGGCAAAAACTGCCGGGACCACCCGAGGCCTGCATCACTGCCCCCCCACTCCACTCCACGAATGCTGGCTTGCAATGCTGGGCTTCCTCCAAGAGCTGCCCCCCCCTCAGCAGAAGGAGTGTGTTGCGTTGCAAAGGGGCTGTGCACCTCCAGCCTGGCACATCTCCCTCAGCCAAGGGCCCCGGCCCCATTGTGGCCCTCCAGGCTGGATGAAGCCTTCTGGATCATGTCACAAAGCAGGAAACTTTTACTGGGCCATCTAATTTTTTAAAAGGAGTTTTTAAAAAGCCCATGTCAGAATCGCTTTGCCTGGGGGTGCCAAGGAGAGCAATGTGGAGCCCACCCCTCCCGGGCTCCCTCAGCCACTGGCTGATCCTTGATCCCAGGGGCAAAGTCTACCTGCAGCCCCCCCACCAAACAGCATCTGACTTCCCGGCTCAGCTCAGCAGTGATTGCAAAAGCGCTCTCCGGCTTCCCTCTACCCGCAGGGCTCAGGGGCCGCTGCGCTTTCATTAGGAACGGCGCCTGGGTCTTTTCGGGCAGATGGGTGCCCTGCAGACGTCCTCCCAAAAGAAGAGAAGGAGCTTCTCCTGGTCGTGGCATCTGCCAGAGACAGGAAAGAGGCTCTTCCTCTTGAATCCATGGCTACCTTGAAAAGGTTTTCTTGCAGAAGAGCAAAGCAAAAAGGTGCCAGCTTTCCACAGGGTGTGCCCTCCATGTACCGGAAACGGAGCCACCCGGCATGAGCTGGAGACCAGGGGCCCGGTCGCTCTTCCTCCTGCCCCAGTGACCCACTGAGGGCCCTGATCCAAATCGGAAACCTGTTCTTTGCACAGGAGGGCCCAAACCGCACGACCCTTCTGCCGCTTCACTGCAAACAACCCTTTTGGGGAGCTGTTCCCAACCGTGAAAAACACCCGCCTTGGCGCCTCTCAGGCTGGACTTCCCACCCGGGCCTCTCCGCCGCCTCCACTCCACTCACCCATGGATGGCGCTGCCAGCAGCCCAGTCGAGAGGACCAAGGGGCCCAGGAGGAGCAAGAGGCCACCGGGCATCATGATGGTGCTGAGAGACAGCTCCGAGTGCCAGGCCAGGCTGGGCCGGACCAGGATATAAGCCATGGCCTGGGTGGAGCTGTGTGGTGAGGGAAGGAAGGAAATCACAAGATGGTTTGTACAGATCAACCCGCTAATGAGCCCCTGGGGCCAGTCGGTGCCACCTACGCAGAGCCAGCCTCGCCCAAGGAAGAACGGTGGGGCCAACGCAGGCTTGGAAAACAGGGCCAAGCCAAGGCCACCCCGGGGGGCTGGGGGGCATCCGTGGCTGGAACTGGAGCTCGTGGGAGACAGAGGCATTCTTGTATCCCAGCATCTCCTCTGACTCTGCTCCGGAGGAAACCCTCTCTGGGTTGGTTTGGGGCCTGTGGGGGGGGAGGGCTGTTTTGCCTCCACCCAAGCTCCCCAAGGGAAGGGGCTTAGGGAGGAACGCCCACCACTAGCTCTTACCCTCCCAGCCTTGCCCCCCAACAGCATCAGAGGTGAGACATAACTCTGGGCCTCTCTAGGGAATCCGTGCCAGGAAGGATCTGGGCCCTTCCCCCCCCCAAGACCAGACAAGCCAAACCCCTCTTGCCCCCTGATGGTTGTGCCACTCCTGGAGATGTCTGTTTCTCCAGTCCAGGCGCATTCCCAACTGTCACCACATCCTGTGCCAGGGAGTTCCACTGGAGAGAAACGCGGGCTGTGGGCATTTCACCGTCCTGTGGGCAATGAGTCACCCACACAGGTTCTTCAAGCTGAGCCGCTGAGCTCTGAGGCCTCTCCCCTCAAACATCTGGTATTGAGTTTCAGCCTCATCCGGATGCCTGCCCCGGTGTTCACCAGATCTCTTTGCAATCATGGGGGGGGGCACAGGGGACCCTGTCAGTGCCCCCAAACTATATCATTCCGTGGCTACACCTGTGACCTCCTCTTCAGCCAAGACGGTCTCCCGAAGCAGCTTAGGAAGACCCCTCAGAAGGCAAAACCCCTTAAGGCACCTTCACACGACCAGTCCCAGACCAGCTTCCACGTCAGGAAGGGCTTTGGCTCTCCAGACCTTTGGACGGCAGCCGTTGGCACCCGGGACGGTCAGCTACGCTTGCTGTGGCTTTTGGGAGCAGAAGTGCAAAAGATCAGGAGGGCCAAAGTTCGTAGAAGCAGGACCCTAGAAGAACTGTGTGGGAAGGCTATCGAGCCGGACCCCCTGCTCAAGGCAGGAACCCCAGTCAAAGCAGATTGGGCAGAGGGTGGCCTGGTTTCGTCTTGAAGGCCTCCGGCATTGAAGCCCTCCCCGTCTCTTTTCCAGAAGAAGGGTGCTGGTGGAACCCCAGGTGGACGCCGAGTGTGACCGACGGGAAAGAGGCCCACGCTGCAGAAGGAGGGGGGGATGCTCAGACCTGCCTCTCGGCTGCTCAAAGGATGCCGTGCCTGTTTGACTTGGAGAGGATTTGCCTTAAAGCTGGAGGGGGCTCTGTGGGGTGGGTGCCCTTGGAGCGCAGGGGATCTCCTCGGGGAGAGCACGCGGGTGGCACACTCGCTCTTTCCCTCCCCACCCCTTTGCTGTGTATTCTTGATACCTCACAGACTGTTGCGTTCCCGCT